TACGATGAAAATATCAAATCACCAAACCATACAGAAAATAAAACCCCAAATAAAAAAAGACATAAATCTGTATTTCATTTGTGAAACCATACTAAAACCGCATGTAAGAACAACGACATGGAGCAGTTTAAAAAGGGATTGTGTGATTTGTAATCAAAAAGCAGGTACGTGCTTTGATAGTTCTGGCACCGAAACAAAAACAAAACATGAGCTATCAGCCCGAATTACATAACATGATCTCTGATGATCACAAGCAGAAGCCATGCAAAGAACAAACAGGAGCCAAATTTCTCCTCACAATTGAAAAGAACAGGAGTTCAAGCCTCATCGAGCACAGTCAAGTTAATTCTCTAAGGAGCAGCTGCTAACGGGCCTGACAGGAGGGTTAACTGCGCTGTGATCAAAATCACTTTGCATCTAATACAGGCAGGGGAGGGGCTGTTGATCAAAGATTGAAAAAAAAAAAAAAACATTTTAAATTAAGAACATCAGGTCATCCAAGAGCTGAGAGGAAAACCATTAGACGAGCAGCAGATTTCTCACGACGCACTGCATGAAAGCTTAGAGAGTTAAAAGTATCTAGTGCAATGAATCATCCTAACCATCACTTTTAGATGCTCCTTTAAAGTTAGAGACGGCAGCTATCATCTCTAACATCTCCATCCTTTTAATTTTCTCATCCAATGAGGACTTTTTATATTCTTACAAGCTGGTACATGCTAGATGCATACACTGGCTTCACTGTCACAGCTTAAATGCTGACATTAATGTTTGAATAATTCAAATTTTGATTTTTCTCCCCAGTCATAGCCAAAATTTGCATTTCTAAGTCACAGCGAAAAACACAAGCAACAAAAAACATATTTTGTCACTTTTTTTAAACAGGAAGGATGGGCCAGCTCCCCTGTGAACTGGCCCTGGCCCCTGAAATGAAAGCATACCCTACAGAAATTTAAATAAAAATCATTTCTTTCTTTAAAAAGTGTAAATTCACTTGATCTGAGGAGGCAGTTAAGAACAATTACCCATAGACTAAGATTATTAATGTTTCAAATACTAAAAAAATAAAAGCTTAATTGTTTTATTTCAAGATGAAAATATGTAGTTTCATTTTACAGGCAAAAACACTTGGTCCTCTGGCAGATCATCTTATTTACCTAATTTATTTAGGGTTTATTACAAGGATTTTAAGGATTTTTGTACTTTTTGAAATAATTTTTCACAGTGTAATACTAAAACAGTTTCGTATCATAAATGCACTGACAGACGAGAACAAAAAAGATTTGTCAGTTAGACAAATGTCAATTTTCTCCATTACAATAGAAACTACAGCCAACTTTAAGCTTCAGTCAATAAAAGACAAAAATCACAGCTTTCATCAGGAATCTGCAACTTTGGTTTTGTGTCCCACTTTACAAACTGAACCAGAGGCCTTCAACAGGGGGTCCGTGAACTCTAGTTGGTCCACAGAGGTACTGCATGGAGGTCGCAAAAGTTTTGGTTGATCACATTTTTTTTTTTTTTATATTCCCTCCAGCAATTTTTTTCCACTAATGGAAATGTCTTTAAATACACATTAACATGAATTCAACTCACTGTAGTAAACAGATAAATGGAGGCAGAAGATGTCTTTCAGTCATCAATGCACACATTCAGCAGCACACAGGAGCTCTTTCAAGCTGGACACCGTTTCATTCACACTTGTCCCATCAACCAGGAATCAGAGGCTACGTTCACACTGTAGGCCTTGATGTTCAATTCAGATTTTTTAGTGAAATCCAATTTTTTCGTGTTACCGTTCACATTTCCAAATATATGCGGCAATCTTTCCCAACCATATAAACACAATCTTTACAAGTTGGTTAAACATACTACTCTCCGCATCGTCGTAGTCGTTTTTCTTGTTGCTTGTTCATAGCAAGACCCAGAATAGTGACCTTTATCAGGTAGTAACGGCGTTCAGGTCGGATGAATGCGCCCTGTCCGTTCAGACACAGGTCACATTAGAAAAGATCAGATTCTTATCAGATTCAGGACCACATAGCCAAGTGGCCTGGGTCACATTGGAAAAAAGTCGGATCTGTGTTGTTCAGACTGTCATGAAAAGATCAGATCCAGGTCGCATACGGGCCAAAAAAA